AAGACCCCTCTTTTAATATTAGAGATATTACTCTAATCTAATCAACTGCCAAGTATGGTACTCTACCCTTAATTCTACAGGTATATGATCAATACCTGGACAATCACAGTGCTCCCAAGTCCTAGCTATACTTCTGAATCCAAGGACTGAACATGAAATTTAGAGCACATCAATCAATCAAAATCCTCTGGAATAATATGTACTGATGTATTTGCTTTCTTCTAAGGCTGCTAAACTGGGATGATTTAAGTCCAGAGCCGCCTGTGGCTTTGGCCTCTAGTATAGAGGAAGCCTATTTGTAGGAGCAATATGGCCAGAAGGAGAAACAGAGATGAAAAAACAGGATGTCATGAGATCTCTGGAATGATTTTTAATTTATTGAAAAAAAATTTTTTTGAGACAGGGTCTCACTCTGTCACCCAGGTTGGAGTATGGCTGTGTGATCATAACTCACTGCAGCCTCAAACTCCTGTCTGAACCTCCCCAAAGCACTGGGATTACAGGCATGAGCCACCATGCCCAACTGGAATCCTTGGATTTAGCTGATGATGCAGCTAGTTCCACCTCTGTGCTTACAAATTAAATGAACCAATAAATTCCTCTTTACTGCTTAAGGTAGTTTTAGTTAGCTTTCTGTCACTTGCAAATAGAGTTCTAACATGCAGAAATACATTCATAAGGATAGAGGAAGCAAAGTGGATCTAAGGTAATAAATGTTAGTCCTCAGGGTAGAAAGCAGGGTGAAACAGAAACTTCTGTTCATAAATAGGTTTACAGAGTGTCCCATTAGTCCATCTTATTTTTGATTCCATGGTATCCAACAAATTTCTATTGAAATTAAATGAAATGTTGTTTCTGTGTTCATCTGGCACTAAATAAAAATAGTACCTTGAGTGGCAATCTTATGAATAATTTTCATTTTCTTTTTACCTGTATTTTCTGAATTGCCTATAATAAACATATGTAGATTTTTCACCATGTTAAATCAAACATTGATCATTACTCTTCACCAATTATTGTATTAGTTTCCTATCAGTGCTGTAGCAAATTGTTATAAAGTGGGTGGCTTAAGGCAAAACATATTTACCATCTTACAGTTCTGGAAGTCAGAATAAAGGGGGTCTGCAAAGCAGTTCCTCCTGGCCAACACTCTGACAGGAGATTTGTTTCCTTGCCTTTTCCAGTTTCTAGACACCACCTGCATTCCTCAGCTCATGGCCTGCTTCCTTCATCTTGAAAGCCAGCAGGTTAGCATCTTTTCTCCTCTCTAACCCTCCACCTTCTACCTCCCTCTCATAAAGACGCTTGGGATTACACTGATCTACCAAAATCTATTTCATCCATCTATTTTCATCCATTGTGCTGTGACCTTTTGACTCTGGAAATTCTATCTATCAATCAGTTATGGAAAATTCTTAATTACTTTGATGACTTCTTCCTCCTGTTCTCTCTCAGGTTATTTGGCTACTGACTTTCCAGACTGGTCCTCCCATTTTCTCTTCTCTGTTTTCCATGTTTGTCTTTTTTGGCTCCACTTTCTGTGAGTTTGTCAACTTTAATTCCTAACTTTTCCATTGAATTTTAACTTCTGCTACCATATTTTTTAATTTCTAAGAGCTGTTTTTTTCTGTTTCTTAATAAAATAGCATCTTGTATATTATTATGGCTGTAATATCTTACCTATGTGAGGATATATTTTTTTCTTTTTTGAGACACGGTCTGGCTCTGTCACCCAGGCTGGGGTGCAATGTCACAATCACAACTCATTAAAGGCTTGAACTCCTGGACTCAAGCTATCTTCCTGCCTTAGCCTTCCAAGTAGCTGGGACTACAGGCACACACCACCATGTCTGGCTAGTTTATGTATTTTTTGTAGAGATGGAGGTCTCACTATGTTGTCCAGGCTGGTCTCAAATTTCTGAGTGCAAGTTATCCTCCCACCTTGGCCTCCCAAAGTGCTGGGATTTACAGGCATGAGCCACCACACCCAGCCTGAGGATACAGTTTAAAAAAAAAAAAAAGTTTTCTTATCACACCATGTTTTGTCCATAGTCTTTCCCAGATTTGCTTTGCTCCTTGTCTTTCACAATGTAGAACTGCCTTATCTGGTGATCCTCAACTGTCTGTTCATGTGTAAAAGTGAGGAGCTAAAACATGGTTTAGAAGCTGTGTCGGTCGGGTAGGGGGTGGTTTGTTGAGCCTCTCTGCTCCATGTCCTGGCTTGGTCATTTGTTGGGAAACTCAATTTCAACAACTTTAGTAGGTCTTTTCTCTTAGGCTGGTCAAATTCTCCACAAGACTCTTCCAATTTCCTTCTGAGAGGCCGAGGGTGGGAAATGAAGAGATAGAGGAAAACATTCAGTATGCATTCATTCCCATAATCACTGTCTTCAACACAGAAATGTGGCTCTCAATTGTCTTAATGTACCTTCGAAAGTACCATTTATTACTGTTATAGATCAAAAAGTTATAGGTTTATTTTGTATTATAATGCTGAACATCTTTTCACATTTTTCAAAATTGAAAAATTTTTATATTTTTCAATTTGTATTTATTAATTATTGAGATGAACATTTCTCAATAATTTTAGTCAGTCTTTACACATTAAGACTATCTTGCTTCATTGTTTTGAGACAGGGTCATGCTGTCGCCCAGGGTGGCGTGCAGTGTCATAATTACAGCTTATGGTAGCCTTGAACTCGTGGACACAAGTGATCCTCCTGCCTTGGCCTCCCAAAGCACTGGGATTACAGGCATGAGCCACCATACCTTTTGATAAGTTGCAAGGCTACCTTTTGATATGTTGCAAATATTTTTTCTGAATTAGGCAGGAATCTTTTATACACTTTACTTCTTTACAAGTAGAGAAGTAAGAACATTGACTAGAGCTGGACTATTGGGTTCAAAACCTGGCTGACATTTTCCACAAAAAAGCTGACACTTTCAGCTATAAAACTTTGGCGAGTTGGCCAGGTGTGGTGGCTCATGCCTGTAATCCCAGCACTTTCGGAGGCTGAGGCAGGTGGATCGCCTGAGGTTAGGAATTCGAGACCAGCCCGACCAACATGGGAAAATCCTGTCTCAGCTGGGCACGGTGGCTCACGCCTGTAATTCCAGCACTTTGGGAGGCTGAGGCAGGCGGATCATGAGGTCAGGAGATCGAGACCATCCTGCCATCCTGACTAACACAGTGAAACCCCATCTCTACTAAAAATACGAAAAATTAGCCAGGCATGGTGGCATGTGCCTGTAGTCCCAGCTACTCAGGAGGCTAAGGCAGGACAATCACTTGAACTGGGGAGGTGGAGGTTGCGGTGAGTTAAGACTGCACCACTGTACTCCAGCCTGGGTGACAGAGACTACGGCTCAAAAAAAAAAAGGAGGCTGAGGCAGGAGACTCACTCAAATCCGGGAAGTGGAGGTTGTAGTAAGCCAAGATTGCACCATTGCACTCCAGCCTGGGCAACAAGAGCAAAATGCCGTCTCAAAAACAAAAAAGAAACAAACAACACCAAAAACAACAAAATACTCTGGCAAGTTATGTTACTTAACTTAGTGTCTGTTATATGTCCATATATGAGAAAAACAGTAACCACCTCTTGAGGTTTTTGTGAGAACCAAATGATTTTTTTTTTTTTTTTTTTTTT